CAAAGTGGTAGTGGGTGTCCCACCATCACAGCAGGAAGCTCCCACCTGTCTAGAAGGATCTGAGAGGGCTTCCAGGACCACTGTGATAAGGGGACTTTGTAAGAGCTTTAAGAATGTTGTAACTTTCCTGTTTCCTAATGGTGATTAGCAGTAAATGCTGTTAAGTAAAAACTGTCCTTGCCTGGCAGGCAGTAAGGGAGGAGGCAGAGTGGAGAGGCAAAGTGCTATACAGTCAGGCTTGTAGGCGACTGGACTTTAAATGACAGAGAAGTGGGCATGCGTTTAGACTCAGGAGGCAGCAAAAAGGAAAAAGGGCCTGTGACCAAGAGCTGACCTCTGGCTGAATCTCCAAAGGCCTTGGTTACCCACGTTGCTTCTCTCCACGCCAAAGAAATTACTAGTGTGTTGTGTAGGAGCCTGCTTCCGCCAGCTTACCAGAGTCCCAAACACCCATCTCCCCCAACTCAGTGCAGGATCAGAGACCTCATAGTGGTAGCTGCAATCAGCTGCCTTAGTGATATTTACATCACAGAAACTGGCAAATACAGGGCACAACGGGTTGGGACGCCACACTGCAAGCTAACCGCAGCTGCTTCAGTGCGATATTTCTCCTGGCCCCAGAGGTGACCCACATGGCACAGCAGACTTTTCCTGTCTTGCCCGCTGCTCCCCTCAGGAGTGTACTTTGTTGATGTGCCTACTCTGCTTCCCACTCTGTTTCTGGTGAATCCTCTCACCACCTCTGCACTTCTGGTCTGTACCCCAGTTCTGTGTGCATAAATAAATAAATCTTTAAAAAAGAAACTGGCAAATACTCTCAATTAGAGCCCCCTTCCCTCCCCTCCCCTGAGAGCTGCTGTCCATCATTTACCAGCACACAACGGCTGTTTCTCCTGGTGCCTCTGTCAGGTACAGCCCAGGACGCACCTCTGTGAACAGGTCCCGCTGACGCCGGGTACACTGCTAATTTAGCCCTTGAACCACCCTAGGTTCTTGCCCCATGAAGCCATAAAAAGGAATTCAGAGACCTTTTAGATAAGGAAGCAGAGAGAAGCAAACTTTGTTTAAGAAAGGAAAGTTTATTTAAAGGAAGAAAGTAAGGACTCCCAGGTACGCTGTACTTGGGAGGGGCAGGAAAGCTGTGTGGGCCCCTGTCTAGGGGTATTTAAACCTTTCTTTCCTCTGTTCTAAAGTCTCATTATCTCACTCTGTGATTGGCTCTTTCTCCTAGTGGCCACATTCCTCTGGGCAAATGTGCCCATTTTCCCAGCTCTTATCTTAGAGTTGACCAAACCTCCCCTGTCCAAGGTCACTGTCTTTGTTTAGTGCCCTTGGCCTCTCTGACCTCCTCTCTGGGTATGTTTTGGTCAGCACCTCTTAGAACATACTGTCCTTTCCTCAGAAGCCTCTTTAACTCTTCCGAAGTCCCTGCCTGTAACTTGCCCTGAGACTATCTTAGTGCAGTAAGTCCCCAACCTCAGCATCCTCCCATGGGTCCCAAACTGGAAATGAAGTAGGCAGGCAGCAAGCTCAATCAGAGTCCAGCCCGAGTTGTGGATTATGCTGAGCCTGCAATGAGCTCCCTTTGTTTTCTCGTTGCTTCCTCAGAGGAGAAGCTTTCTTGTCTGAGCTGAGTTCTTACAGAAGAAGGATTGGTCCAAAGCTCATGTCTAAACAAAAGCCCAAGGAGGTGTTAGCCCAGTACTTTGCCTTCTGGGGAGCTGCCTTCCCAGCCCACATCTAGGGAGACTTCAATGGGACAGAGAAAGTCCACAGGAGGTGTGGAAGGGTGGGGAAAGGCGGCAGAAGAGGAGAAAGGCTTTCTCCACGCCATCATTTTCCTCTTCCTAGATGGCCTTACACAGGCTCCTCCAATCTCCTCCAGTCATGGAATTCAGGACCACACAGTGCCCTCACCCTCACCGCAGCTGTTCCCCAGGCAGCTTTCTCTCTCCTTACCTGGGATCTGTCATGTCCCTGCTCCTATCTGTCTATCCCATTTGCTCTTGAATGTCACAGACCGCACCAGGTCTTTGCTCCTTTCCCTTTCTCTCCTGGACTCTCTTCCCTGCCCTCTGTGAGATGAAGGTTGACCCTCTCAGCCCTGGTCAGCTCGTGTTTCCCTTGTGGGCCCCTGGACACCAAGGCCCTGCTGGACCTTGAAAATCATCAGTGTAAGAAAAATTGAATTTGCCCAAGAGAACAAACTATGTTCTCTTGGTAAGGCAGAGAGCAAAATTCACATTATCATAATGTATAAATATTTGATAGCTGACTTAACCAAATGTTACAGAACCAGAGTGGAAGGGTATCTACAAGAAAATGCCAGGTTTCTCCTTTATTCTCACTCCCCACACTCGGGCTCAACCTGGCACAAGCCAGATGTCCTGACAGCTTCTGGGATCTGATTCTTTGAGAGAGCAGCTCACAGAACTCAAGGACACATGTTTACTCAAGGATGCATGATGGGTGGATATTGTAACCAAGCAGAGCTACAGCAGATGGAGGGATATGCTGGGTGAGGTCTGGGAGGGACCCAAACGCCCACCTGTGGTGTGGCAACCTGAAAGGGCTCCAAATCTGGTGCTCTGGGGATTTTTAGGGAGACTTCACCACGTGGCATGACCTATCCGTGACTCAAGCTCCAGCCCCTCTCCCCTTTCTGAAGATGGGAGGTGAGACTGGCAATTTCTGGGGTCTAATCATGGCTTGGTCTTCCCGGTGCCAGCCCCCATCCGGGAGCCGCCCAGTGTTGGCTCATTAGAACGAGACACACCTGGAACCCAGGAACTTTCAGGGATTTAGGAACTCTGTTCCCACAAGCAGGGGCTTAAGACCCACAGGCGTTGTTTCTGTTTCACAAGGGTGCAGCCCCCTCACCAGGCAGCAAGAAATGCACGTCCATGGAGGTGCACCCTCTCCAGGTCACCGCAAGGGTGGGAAGGGTGGGAAACACTCCCACGTGGCTCTCAGAAAATGAACTGAGAAATTCTTTTCCCAGTTTAAGCTACTGACTTTCTGGGAGGACAGCCCTTGCCGCCTCCTGGGGCAAGCTTGCTGGGATTAGCTCCAGCCTTCAGGAGCCTCCAAGTCTACCTCACACCCCCACCCCACAGACTCCTCCCCCCTCCCCCCATGCTCACACACCCTTCCCTACACCCTTTCCATATGATTCTCCTTTAACCCGCTTACCTTTCCTAAGATTCTTTTTTTTTCTCCCCAGCTTTCTCCTTGACTATCATCTTTCAAATCCAGGAGTATGCCTAGGAGCTAGCAGAGGATATGAGGGAATGCCTGGCACCAGGGTTGCAAGCCAGAGCACCCAGGGCACTGCCCCAGGGGTGAAGATGCCACATTATCAGCTCTTCCCACCTATCTGGGAACTTCTGCTTTGTAGGCAACTCTCTGCTTTTATATGTTGGCAAGTCTATCAAACATTTTGATTCAGTCCTACAACCTGAATCAAAAAAATTGGTTCGCCCAGTCCAGCTTTCATTCAAATCTTCACAAAAGGTAAGGGAAATACATATATTGCACTTTCCTGGGCCATCCAAGTGTAGAGGTGAAACAAAACCTTTAAATTTCCATATTAAATCAGTTTGACCTTTCAGAACCAGCCAGAATATTATCATCATCCCACCTTTGTTTGGTTCTGACCTTCAAAACATGCTTTTTCCTAGTGAATTTAAAAATTAGGACTTTTGGGCCCCCCTGGTTGCATAGGGGTTAAAGTCTCAGCACTATGAAGCTATCACAGGCCACATTAACTTGAGTTCAATCCACATGGCTTGGCAGACCTCTCCTGTCTCCCCCACTTCTTCCCTCTGCGGTGTATTTCAGTAGATCTGCCTGTTCTGCTCCCCACTCTGTCTCTGGTGAATCCTCTCACCCCAACCTGGCCTGTACCCCAGTTTTCTATGCATAAATAAATAAAATAAATCCTTAAAACAAATAGGCCTTTCGGGCTCTCCCTGGTGGCGCAACAGGTTAAGGGCACCATATTATACAACTCCCCAAAGCCACTGCAGCATGAGTTCAATCCCCAGCCAGGGAGATGACCCACATGGCATGGCAGACCTCTTCTGATCCGCCCACCACTCCCCTCAGCAGTGTACTTTGTCAATCTGCCTGTTCTGCTCCCACTCTGTCTCTGGTGAATCCTTTCACCCACCACACCTCTGGCCTGTACCCCAGTTCTATAAGCATAAATAAATAAATCTTTTTTTAATAAAAAGAAAATAAATAGGCCTTTCAGTATAAAACTCTGTTTTAATTCAATAGAAAAAAATATCACCACCAAAAATATCTACGACCTTGCAGGATTTGCTGAAAACTCCCTCTCCTTCCCCACCCAAAGCCATCTCTTTTCCAGGCGTGCTTGTAACAAAAGCCCCAACCCCTAGTTCCCCAAACTTCCCATTCACTTCCCTCCCTGCACTGCCCCATCCCTTCTCAAAGCATAGAGCTCCCTTTCCAGGCTGCTCCTGCCTCCTGTCCTCCTGTCTTCCTTTCTCCCCCCATCCATCCAGCAGGGAGAGGCCTCCTGTGCTGACTCTTACCTGGAATGTGAGAAGGGGTAGCTTAGGGCTGTGAGAGTTAGTTTTCTGGAATCATTCCAGGGCCTTCGGGAACTTTCTTGCTGCAACACCATGCCATCAAGGGACAGACCTCCCTTATCTTTTTGGGAATTTTCTGGATGTTCTCTCCCCCCACTGCAGTTCCTGGGCAGATCTCCAAGGTTCCCTGTACCCTATACTCTTTCTTTGTGCATTTTTTCCCTCTGACCCAGGCTAGTCCTGTTCTGCATTCATGCCCAGGCAGCACCTGCCCTGCCCACACAATGGGAGGGGTTGGGACCAGTATAGAAAGGACTAGCGCAGCATCAGGGGTGTGTGTCAAACCAGTCCAGTCGCCTGATCATCCTCTTGCCATGGAAGCTTGCTTCTAAAGGAAAGCTGTGGCAGAAAGGAGGTGGCTGCATCTACCGGAGAGCTCTTTTACCTTGCCTCTTCCTCCAAAGGTTACCCGCAGCCTGCCAGCCCTGCCACCATGATGAAGAGAGGCTTCCAGGTGGCAGCAAGACTTGGCCACTACAGAGCTCTTCTCAGAGCCCCCTGCATCCCACCCAGACTTGACTCTGCCTCAGCCTTCGCATCCTCCTCAGATGATAGGGTGAGTTCCCGGCTCAGCCAAATGGGCAGCCCTCCTCCTGGGCACCTGGGACCTAGGGACACTCCAAATCTCCTCTTCTCAGAGGCTGGACTGGAGCAGGAAGTTGGGGAGCTACTTCATTTGGCAAAGGGAAGTTGCTCTTGGGAAACAGAGCAGCTCACATCTCGCACTAAAACAGCAGGAAGTTTCTGCCTGGTCTGACTTCTGTGTGGTCACCATGGGATCCTGTCCCTCCTCAGGGACTCAGGCTGGTGCAGCTGAGTTGGGTATCCCAGAAGGGCAGCCCCACGTGTGGTCTAGGTGGTTCGCTTATTGCTCATAGCTGTGGCCGGTACATGAACAGTTAACATCATAGACTGTCATAGCCCATCCTCGCTCCACAGGTTTGTGGACACCACAATTGTTTCCAGGAGGCAGGAGCAGCCTGCATGGTGTGGCCAGAGCTAGAGTAGCCCCTGGGGTAAATTGTGGTCCCAATGGTCCCCACCAGCTGTGGTCACACTCAGGGAAATGACATCTCAGAATGGACTCTGGTCTGACCATCTGCTTCCATGCTCATATGCTGTCAATATTACCCATATTTCCTCAGTTTCCCCCCATACAGTAGGGACCTGAGTCTCCAAATACTGCTTCCAGGTTCCAGAAGAGAACAATTATAACGCACCAGCATGGAGCAGTACATCTGTGATTATCAGCTTTAGCATTCTCTTCCCAAACCCTCTGCAAGGAAGATGGCCCACAAGCTGGCCCTGGCAGGAGGAATTGAAGAAGCCAAGAGCCCATGCACACACTAGCTAGAGGCCCCGGGGCCCAACCCCAGGTAGCTGTCTAGTCTCCCTGATTTTTCCTACCCAGATCTCAAGATTCTGCCCAGAGAAGACAGATTTGAAGGATTATGCCCTTCCCAATGCCAGCTGGAGTCCAGACATGCTGAGCATGTACCAAGAGCTTCTGGAAAAAACCAAGACCGACGGCTGGATCAAACTGCCCTCCTTCAAGTCCAATAGGGACCACATCCAGGGGCTCAAGCTGCCGTGGGGGCTGTCAGTTAAAACAGGTAAGGCCTGGCCTGAGAGCCCATGGGTGACATGCGCACACACAGGCCCCCTGGTGGGCTGTCAGCCCCTTTCCCTGCCTGCAAAGCCTCTTGGGAAGAAAAAACAGCACCAGCTCCATCCATATCTCTTGTTCTTCCTGCTCTCACTGTCCCCCTCCCTCCCCGCCCCATGTGGTAGCCCCAGGGTGGATGAGAAGGGCCTGTCCACTCCCCTCCTGTCACCTATAAAGAACACACCTAGCAGCAGCCTTTGCTCTGCGCCAACCTGAGGGCTCACAGGTGTTTCACTGTATTGTCAAGCTTTCTCCCAAGCCCTCCTCCCACCCCATAAAGGCCATCAAACCCCCTCGCCCAAGCAAGCCTCGGCACACTGTTCCTGCTCTGCTGGCCCAGAGCAGCATTCCAGAGACACCCGCCAGAGCAAACTGATCATGTTCCCACCCTCCTCTGTGTGTGTGTGTGTGTGTTTCCATGTTTTCTCGTCTCATCCCTATATGTGGTTTTCTTGCCTAGTGAGGAGTGATCAGCCTACCTCTGGGTTTCTGGTACAAAGCAAGGGCACTGACATCACTTTTGTAAAGAAATTGGCATCCATTCTAGAAGAATATTTTTTTTCATCCTAGAAGAAATTAAGTACTTGTTCTGGGAGAGCTTTAGGGCTTTCCTGAATTCTGGATTGATTTATATTTGAGTACCATGTCATTTTGAATGGTCAACATTTAAGGTCTGTTCAAGCCTTGACCTGGCCTTGACTCAACCCCCTCCCTCAGTCAGGGAACTTCCTCAGTATTCTCCCTCCAGACCTGAGGAGTCCCTAAGGACCGCTAGGTCTCTGCTCTTCGATTGAATGGCCGCTGAGGACAGAACCTGGGAGTCAGGTTCTGGGTGAGGCAGGGCTCAAGCCGGGGTGCTCACTGGGGTTCCACATCTGCATCAGACCCCAGCCCTCCCTCTTCCCTTCTCCAGCTGCCACACTACCCATCTCTCCTCAGACTACAAAGACTCGTGCATCTTCACCAGGAGCATCCAGATGGAAGGTCAAGGCTACGAGTATGTCATCTTTTTCCACCCATCCATGAAGAAGTCTATCTGTCTATTCCAGCCAGGCCCCTACCTGGAGGGGCCCCCGGGGTAAGGCCACAGGCAGGACAGGGTGGGAGGGGGGAGTGTCCTGGGCTAGTTCCAAGCTTGACTCAGCAGGTAGGTTGGGTACAACCCACACCCTGTGCCCTTTCCTCTCCTTAGGAGTTGGGCCTAGACCTCAGACTCACAGTGCTAGGTCTGGAAGGACATCCTGGATCATGTGGTCCAGCCCCATTGTGCAGATAAGGGAGTCCCCATATGGAGCTCTGGGAATTTTCCAGTAGCCAGAGACTTAAGAGGCTACCCTTTGAGGAGGACAAGATCTGGAATTGGGAGTCAGGCTTCCAGGCCTGCTCTTGACGTTGGCACCCGAGAAAGCAATTTAACCTCTGGCCTTCAGTCTCCTTACCTGAAGAAAAAGGTCTACCAGCCAGAGGTGCTGAGAGAGATGATATTTTGGGATTCTGTGCATGTGCTCACGAGTCATAATGCACAATACAGTGATCTAGCACCAACTATCTGAAATCCTGCTTTCCCACGCACCCACAGAGGCAGCACAGGCAATGAAGTTCAGACCCAGGACTCTAATCCAGGAGCCGGACTTTGGGTCCATTGTTCTCGCCACGGCACTCTGCTGCCTCCACACTTGGAGCTGACCCAGGAAGGAACTCACACTGGATGTAAATACATCCACAGGGAAGTCAGCCTGGCCTAGGCCTCTTGTCTCAGGACACTGAGCCACCAAATCATGGCCACCTGCCTTCCCCTCCACCCCTGCTCCTGTTTTAATCTGTCGCTGAAGGCTGCAGGAGCTCCTGCAAGGGAGAGAGAAAGGACTGCATGAGTGATGTTAGGGCCCCAAGGCCTGGGAGGAACTCATTTGTGGTTTCTCTGTAGCAGGGCCTCTGTAGGCCGTGGGTCCAGACTGCAGCCCTCAGTCAGTCTCCTTTTTCCCTCTCAAAAGCGTCTTCTGCAGGGACACTAAACTCCACACTAGTGTATGCAGGCACAGTGGGAAGAGACCAGAGCCCTACCCAGGCCATGAATCCCCTCCCTTCTGAGAAGGAGAATCCCAAAAGGCAAGGGGATGAACTATGGCTACCTTTTACCCAGGAGTGAGAGGCAGAGGCGGGCCATCTGATATGGAAGCCATGGGGGTTGAGAGGGTTGAGGGAAGAGGTGGGTACCTCCCCAGCCCCAGGGCAGTGAGAAAAGGAGGCTGCTGGACAAGATCTCCCCTGCAAGAGTTGGCCAGTGGGTCCTCTGCCTTGGCCAAGAGGACCAAGAGGGAAGGGCAGGTTTAGGTTTATTTAATGCCACCCGTTTCCCCTCCCTCTCTTAACCAGCTCAGAGGTGTGGGGAGGGAAGTGACTGGAAGCTTGCATGGAGTTTTGTAAATACCACCTCATTTATCTAATGAGATAGGAATTACTTTTACTCATAACTTATAGTGGAAAAACCAGGGCTCAGAACAGTCTACCAACTTGGTCAAGATCAAACACATAGTGAGTGGTGGAGCAAGCAGTGGAAGCAGGTGGGTGTGGTTCCATGCCCTCCCCCCCTTTCCACCAAGGGAGGGGGAAGCCTGTGGTGCAAAGCAGGAGGGTGGCGGCCCTGGCACTACAGCGGGACAGGTACCCCGGCCACAGGTTCAGGGGCGTGCTTTAGAAGTCAGAAACTCAAATATGTCCGGTGTTATCAACCTTCTACAGAGTGCCTTTCTATTTTCCCAACTTAACCAACAATGCAGTGGCTTTGCCAAGGAGGCTGCAGACAGTGAGAAAGAGAATGTTGCACACTTGAAATAAGGCAAACGTTGGCAGAGTTTGTGGTTCGCTGTCCCCTTTGTTTGACACTTGCTTAGGTCAGAAGTCGTGTTTCACCTTGAACATCTTGAAAGTGTGGGCTTGGCACAGGACTTGGGTGGAAGCTGGCCCAGGTGGCCTCTGAGACTAAGTCCAAAAGTTCAGGTCCTTTTCCGTCCTCCATGGGCGTGCCCCTTCCCAGATTGTGGGACTGCTGGTGAGTAGGTGATGCCAGCAGTTAAGCGTATCAAAAAAATGTTCTCTCGTTGATTCTAGCAGAAAAGAAATGAGGCTGAAGAGCTGTGTTTAGAGGCGTCCTAGGAAGGTGGAGGCAGGATGGGGGGCTGGGGCGAGGGGGACCTCACCTCAGTGCTGAGAAAAGGCCACATTGCTACAGGCCCCATCCTCACCTTGTTCCCCACCCCCAGGTTTGCCCACGGAGGGTCCCTAGCAGCCCTGATGGACGAGACATTTTCTAAAACTGCCTACCTGGCTGAAGAAGGGCTGTTCACAGTAAGCCTCAACATCAGGTTCAAAAAGTAAGTATGGATCCTTGGCCCTTTGGCCGAAGTCTTGGCCCTTTGCATCACCGAGGGGACAGTCAGGCCCCTACCTGGAGGGGTCCCGGGGTAAGGCCACAGGCAGGAAGGACATGGTGGGAGGGGCCGCCCAACCAGCCTTGACAGCTGGGCTGTGGGAGCGTTGCGCATAACTGTCCTTCCCCAGCAGCTCCCAAGCAGGCATCTGCTCTCTGGGCATTTGAGGCCAGAGCCACTTAAGTCCTTGAGGCAGGGTGGGAGGAATAGATGGAGGGAAGGACTGGGGGTAAAGGGAGGCAGGCCTTTTATCATGTGAGTGATAAGCAAAGCTACCTCTTCTCCCAGCCTGATCCCTGTGAACTCTCTGGCTGTGCTGAATGTGGATATAGAAAAGATTGAGGACCAAAAGATTTACATGTCCTGCACCGTCCAGAGCAGGGACCAGCAGACAGTCTATGCCAAGTGCTCAGGTAAAGAGATCCTCAGCCTCAACCCCGGGCCCTCTCCTGCCCCCACCCACCCCTGGGACAAACGGAAGGCAGGGAGATTGCTAAGGACCCAGACCCAAGCCAGGGTCCAGTTGTTTTGCAGTGGAATCAGGAGCTGCTGTAAATGCAGAGGAAGGGTGGGAGAAGCCAGCTGGGACTTGTTCTGCATGAGTGTTGTTCAACCCCCTGTTGGAGGCGGATCCAAGTCATTGGGTCCTGGGCTGGAATGTTCATGGTGCCCAGCTCCTGCCACTTGGCTGGTCTTCTCGCACAGGTGTTTTCCTTCAAATGCAGCTGGAAAAGGAGTAGCCCCAGGCGAGCGGACTGCCAGGACCCGCACAGCGCAGGGAGGGCTGCTCAACAAATGGGTGGTAAGGGATGGGCATTTTGAGCCAATAAAGTCTTACAGCTCTGTGCTCATCCAAGACCGTCTGTAGTTGGAAATCAAACCCCCACACCCTCCCCCTTCAAGTTCAGCACAAAGAAAGAGATGACGAAGCACCTGCCGCTACCAGGCAGGTGAGGCATCAAGCACAAGTGACAGAGAAGAAAGTTGCACACTGTTGGGCAGAGGCAGAGGCAGCCAGCTCCCTGGCCCCCAGCACTGCAGACACAGGAGGAGGGGCCCTGTTAGTCTGGGACAGACTAGAGCAGGCTGGGCTTGGACTGCAGCTCAGTGGTGAAAAGGTGTTGAGCTGCATGCAGGGAAGCAGGGTGATCCAAGGGAGGGAGTGGGAAGAGCAGAGGCACAGTAAGGGCAAAGGCAGTGACTTTGGAACACAGCATGGTCTTGAGGGCTAAGGGGCTGGGGAACACGGGAAGCAGACAGTGCAAGCCCTGGAGGGCTTCCCCAGCCCTGCTTGGAGCTCCAACGAGGAGGTAACAAGGAGTCTTTAAGGGGCTTGTGCTGGGGAGTGACGGCGAGTTTTGGGTTTTAGGAAGATGACTGGTGGCTCTAAGAGGCGAGCAAGACTGAAGCTGGGGCACCCATAGCAGACCCCTGTTGGGCGATTTCTGGGACATTGGGGGGGATAAATAGGGTGCGATTGCATCTCGCGCTCTCTCTCTGGGAAACAGCTCTCCGGACCACGAATAACCATAAGGTATTCCAGTTACTTTGTATCCCGCTCTCTTTCCCTGGGTTGTTTCCTATCCCTTTCCCCTTTTGTAAATAAACCCATTATTGACTCTTTTGTGTGTGCCTGCAGTATAACTGAGTTGTGAGTGCAAGGGTGAGGCCCCACAGACAGGCGGCCCAGTCCACCCTGGGCTACCCTGTAACAGCTATCTGGCCTCCAACACCGGTCAGGAGCACAGCAGAGAGGAGAGACTGGGACTGGGACTGCACTGGTCTGACTCTGAGGCCAAGAGGGAGGATTGAGTGGGGGTTGCAGAGCACAACAGGGAGGTGAGGGAATTCACACCAGAGGGCTTGAGCTTTCCAGGTAACATAAGAGGCAAGGCCATAAGGCGGCAGAGGTCTGGAAGAAGGGAAGGGCGATGATTTGAATAAGCCAAGTGGGAAGCAGGAAAACAACCTGACTTGGCCTAACTGTAAGTGGGTCAAGCCACACTGAAGGCCCAGCTGCTGGTGGAAGACAGGCACCAGGTGTGAGAGCAAGGTGTACAGACCTGGGCAGTGGCAGGTGAGAACTGTGGTAAAGGAATTAAAAAACAGGGGCAGGTTTCTTTCTTTCTTTCTTTCTTTCTTTTTAAAGATTTATTTATTTGGGCCCTCCCTGGTGGCGCAGCGGGTTAAAGCACAGCACTGAGAATCTAAAGCTGCTTCCGCATGAGTTCGATTCCCGCCTGCCCCGGAGGTGACCACATGGAGTGGCAGACCTCTCCTGACCCGCCCGCTGCTCCCCTCAGCAGTGTACTTCGTAGATCTGCCTGTTCTGTTCCCCTCTCTGTCTCTGGTGAAGCCTCTCGCTGCCCCTGAGCCTCTGGCCTGTACCCCAGTTCTGTATGCAAAAATAAATAAATCTTTAAAAAAAAAAAAAAGATTTATTTGTGCATACAGAACTGAGTTAAGGCCAGAGGTGCAGGGGCTGTGAGAGGATTCATCAGAGACAGAGTGGGGAGCAGAACAGGCAGATGGACAAAGTACACTGCTGAGGGGAGCAGCTGGCGAGACAGGAGAGGTCTGATGTGCCATGTGGGTCACCTCCGGGGGCAGGGATGGAACTGGCACTGAAGCAGCTGCAGCCAGCTTGCAGTGCGACACTTTAACCCCTTGCACCACTAGGGAGGGCCTGGTGCACATATCTAAGGAGGAAAGGTAGATCATGGCCTGGCTGAGGCAAAGGCCCCCAAGAGAAGGTTGCCTAGGAGAGGGGGAGGAGACTGAGCAGCTTCCACAGAAACAGAATCCCCCTGAGGCCAGCAGATGGAGAGGGTGCTCAGGAAGCCGTGAAGGCTCATGGAACTGACGCCGAAAGAACTCTCCAAAGGTCACATCATGGATTTCACTATTAGGTGCCATAAAATCAAATACTGCTGTAGATGCGCCTCCACATCTCTGCTGCTTACCCCACACCTTACACAGAATGTCCTTAACTGCATGGATCCAGCTGTTGGTGTGTGGGCATTGTTTGGGGATCTGATTGACAAAGGTCAACATAGGACTTTCAAAGTCATCGAGGGTATTGGCACCCAGGAGCCAGTGGAAAGAGAATCATAAGGGAGGTGTCTGTGCCAGGGCCAGTGGAAACAAACACAATGTTTCCACTGGCCAGTGCACAGTCACAAGGTCCCACCAAACAGCAAGGGAGGTGGGCTGGAAAATAGGATATAGCTCTGTGCTGTAGAAGAAAAGGAAATGGGTCTGGGGAAGAGCTCGCTGTCCTTGACCTTGAGAGAAGGTTGAGCAGAAGAAGAAAGTAGTCTATTCCAAACCCTTATCCTGGGAAGTGAAGAATGCAGCTCCAGGATCCGGGGCCAGGACCCAGGGCTCAGAGAAAATCAGCTTCCATGGCGGGGAGCAGGTAAGGGAGCTGTGCATGGATCTCGCCGCGGCAGACAGCAGACGATTCTTTCTTTAGTGTCTGCACCTAAGCCGTCAGGCTGACGACTGGGCAAATGATCAGAAAATGTGGATTTGAGCCTTGGGCCGGTGCCCTCCCAAAGGCACAGACACACTAAAGCCAGGGCCAGACAGCCTGCCCCCGACCCGCTCCCCCAAAGCCCTTCTCCTTTTGTGCTCTCACAGCCCTTGATGTGTTGCTGAGCCCAGAATCAAAATCTCTGTATATCAAACACCGGATTAACCTTTATTCAGGGTTTAAAGACTTAATCTTCATTGAAACAATCCCAAGAGAAGAAGGGAAATATATTCCCTCCATCCTACGCAATCAAAGCAAAAAACAAAAACAAACAAAAAAAAAACCTGCACTTGAGTTTCCATACTAAAAGTTTCACTGCATCGTGGCCCTTGTCAGCTGGAGCCAGTTTCTGAGAGAACTAGGCATGGCCTGGAAATCCACAGCTCTCAGGCAAGGCCCCACAGTCAGGCCAGACATGCCCACCTTCACTCAGCAAGGTCAGGTGGGTGGGCAGGGGTCTTGGTCAGGGAAAAAAGTCACCAGCTGCTGGAACACATCCCTGCCAAGGGCTTTGACAGATGTCCCTCCTCTCCTAGGAAGTCAAGTACTGCAGTTTTCTAGGCAGGAGCCAGGGGACTTGCGGCTGGCCTCCACTCTTACTTTCCTACTTGCCTGAAGATGGTCTCCTTGGTGCCTTCCACCCTACACCATTTCCTCCCCATCACCACACTCAACTGATGACCTTACTTCCTGTTTCACTGGGAAATTAGAAGCCTTAAGAAAACAAGCTCCCCCCCCCCCACTACACCTGCTACCTCCACCCACCGGGTGAACTGCCCCATAGCCAGCAAAGGGCAACCTTACATCTGTTTCTTACACCTGCTACCTCTATCTTCCTGTTTGCTTAGGAATATTGTCAATTCCTCCCTCTCTACTGGGTCTTTCCCATCAACATACAATCATGCCAGTATTTCTACCATTAAAATAAGTTCTCTCTTGATTACACTTCCCCCTCTGCTCACCACCCCACTTCTTCTTCAGCAAACTCTTCAAGAGAGCTGCGGGTGCTTGTTCTCTCTCCCTTTCTCCTCCTATTCTTTCTTGATCCCATTCCAGTGTCCTTGTCACTCCTCCAACCCTGATCTCATCAAAGTCACCAAAGACTCTGAAGTGCAGTGGTTAATTCTCAGCCCTCATCTACTGGACCTCACCATTGCACCTGACACAGCAGGCACAACCTCCTCTTGCCTCTGAATGTTGGAAAGCCCTGAACTCTGTGTTTGGATCCTCTCTTTTCTACTCTTTATCAAATCTTATTATTTTAAATTCCACCTGTTATCTCATTTATCCCTCATGCCAACTTTGGAGAGCCTAGCTGGAAAAGATGAACCCCAGAAACATTCAGTTGCATGCCAGAGGGCACAACCCAGATCCAGTGGCTCTTTCCCATAGCCCAGCCCAGCAGAGGAGGCTGGCTTGCTGCTAGAAAACTGGCTCACGCTGGAGGAAGGAATTAAGAGGCCAGGCTGATGGCTGCAGAGACAGAGCTGTGTTTATCCAGGAACAGAGGTCCAAAGACGTAGGCAGCAGGCCCCTGCCAGCTCCTCCCAGAAGGACTGGGCTGGGGGAGCATACTGGAGAGGAAGCTGCTCCCCTCCGGAATCTGAGCACCTCCAGGCCAGAGGCCAGAATCCAGCCGAGGCCCACAGGTGAGGCCGGCAGTCTGAGCACCCAATGGTGCCTTCCCTGGGTAGGGACTCCCAGGCCAGGGATCCATGGTGCAGTGCCCAGGTAAAGGCTGGCCGTGAAGCAGTGGAGCCTCCCAGAGCCAGCTCAGGAGGTGGTGAAGAATCAAAGCTGCCTTTGTGCTGGCCTGTTTCCTAGGAAGAAAAAGAGTGCAGAGTAGGAGGGGTGGCCAGACCGGGCGGCTCCGCCTTGCAGACACAGGATGCCGTGGCGGCTGAGGCATGGCTGGGAGGCTCGGAGCAGGACCCGCTGAGCTTAAGGCAGTTGAGGGGATCCAGAGCCCCCGAGAGGTGTGTCTTTTAGGAGGACCCGCCCTGAGTGCACTCAGGGTAACAGTCCCAGTCACTTTTTGGCCCCCGGGCGACTCAGGGAGGCAAAGGAGGAGCTAGACAGGCAGATGTGGCTAGCTAGGGTTAGCTAGGGTCAAAGGAAGGCTCCTTCGGGAGGAGCTTGCCGCCACCCCCCCCAGGGAAGAGCAGGCCGGGTAAAAGGGTAGCCCTGGCAGGCAGGCAGGTAGCTTAGGGTTGTATGGGGAGAGGCTCAGCTCTGGAAATGAGGGAGAGAAGAGAGTGAGTCCTCTTAGGGCTTCAGTGCCCACGGGAATTAGGGGCTGCATAAGAGCAGGGGATA